TGAGCCTCGGGTGGTTGGGTGTAAGAGCTGAGCCGTGGGGCGGTTGTGGGCCGTGTAAGAGCTGCGACTGTGCAGCTGTCATGGCTGAGCGAGGCGTGAGGAGCTGAAGCGTGAGCCTGGGGTGTGGGTGTAGAGAGCTGAGCTGGCGGCTTTTAAGAGCTGAGCCTGGTTGGGTGTAAGAGTCTGATGCTGGGTGTGGGTGTAAAGAGCCTGAGCCTGGGGTGTGAGATACAGGAGTGGGCGTGTGTGGTGTAAGACGCGTGCAGCCTGGGTTTGAGTGTAATGAAGCTGACTGTGAGTGTGTGAGAGGCTGTGAGAGGTAAGAGTCTGAGCTGGGTGTGTGAGTGTAGAGAGGCTGTGTAAGTGCGACCGGTCGTCGGGCGGCCGTTCTACGCGATCTAGATTTGCCCTGTTATACCGGCTGCGTGTGTAAGCCACTTGAGTCTAGCTAAACAAGCGCGCCGCTGTCCGTATACAAGCGTCAGATTTACTGGTCGCGGCCAACCCGATTGCGAATTATGCTGTTTTCTTCGCCGCTCCTGCCATCCCGCAGAATGGACTTTATTTGAATCACAGAATGGCAATAAAATATATGTTTCTGTTGCCTACCGTGCGTTTGCGCGACCGCCCACACTAAAAACACGCCTCCGCAAAACACGCACGCGATGCGTACAAACACGCGAGGACGGCTGCTAATGCGAGGACGACGACTACGGGTGGACATTGACGTAACGTGGACGGTGATGACTAGCCGCACATTCACACCACCGAACACTACCATCACAAGTGGTCACGCTTTATTCATCGCATTCTCGCATATCTGTGACATGGCGCCCACGATGGTGACTGGAATACCGTACATTTTAACGCGTTGCTAGTTACATGTATGCACAGGCGGTGTTGTTGCCTAAGACTGTGTCACCATAAATTTTTGCGACTGGTTGTTATCGATTATTGAAACAAATAGGTGTCGCTGGCGGTATGTAGCGCCGAGGTGGCTGCCCCGTCATGACACACAAATATATATATACGTGGTGTGTGTGTGTGTGTGTGTGGTTGTGTTGTGTGTGTGTGGGTGTGTGTGTGTGTGCGTGCGTTGGTGTGTGCGGTGCGTGCGTGCGTGCGTGCGTGCGTGCGTGCGTGCGGTGCGTGCGTGGCGTGCGTGTGTGTCCTGCCAACAGTAATCGTGCACATCTCAATCCAAAGGTTTTTGTGATGATCTCGACATATTACGGTTATAACAGACACGGAACACAACCGCGCGCGTTGTAATGAAATAGAATTAGAAAAATGCCACACATATACGTGGATGTAACGCAGATAACATTCTAAAGCTGCAGCACACTTCACCATTTGCTCGTACATGGCAATTTCGTGGTCGGCATTTTTTGTGGCCTTTGTTACGTCACAGCACCACGTCACACTGAGTGGTGACGTTGTGCTGTTGGCGGGCATTTTTTTGTTCACTGCGATTCCTTGCCCAGGATAGCCTATCATGCTACTAAATACCAGACAATTATTAATGTAGGTAGATGAATCAATCCTAGGCCTACTAACTTCTAAAACAACTTAAAATATTCATTTTTTTATTGATATTTGAATTTATTAACAAAATAAATACCAGTAAAATATTTGAAACTCAACATGATGCAACATGTAACAAGTTACAGTAGGAACCCCACTTAATGGACACCCTTGTTTAAGCTGGGCCACCTCTCCATCATGTCTATTAATGTTCAGTCCATAATTGGGGTTCTACTGTATAACATTTTTGAAATCATGTGACGGCCAGCGCTAATTTTGATTTGTGTCTGCGTGATTTTTTTGACCGATTGCCGTGGTGCCTTGGCGCACACTTCACCACAAGTTGCC